GCCCACTCCAATGTGGCACTCCACACACACTAGCAACTGGCATCAGTATGCAACACATACTACGTGACACAGCTACCTAATACAAACAAATAAACTGATTTTTTTAAACTCACTTCCTGTAGATCAAGGAAAAAAACCATATTCTTCCATAGTAGAATTTCAGGAGAGACATAGAGAACAATTCAATAGACCAGGGTGCTTTCTTGTTTTCATTACATTGGAATAGTTTTCCTTTATTTTGGGAGAAATTCCAGGAAAGTGATGGCTGTGATTACTCACCTGGTGAGTTAAAACATCCATCTGTTTCCAACAAACGAAAAGCAATGTCAGAGCATCCGGCAGAGATACAACAATTGCATCCAAGGTTGTTATTTATAGCAATTGTCATTTTTATTGGAATGATTCCTTTCTGTCAGCCTTCAAAACACAGCACATTCTAGTTTTTCCCATAAATGTAGACATTTTTCTTTCTTTTTATTAGACCTTCGATAAAACAAGTAAAACATTTCTATTGAAACTTGTCCCTTTCACATTTCCAAAACTAACCTCCAATGACCCAATTATTAGACACAATTTGAAGATAATTCCCTAAATTACTTTCTTCCTACAGACTACGTCTAGTCTAATAGCAATCATTTGGTAAAAATTAGACCCCTTGCTCTTAGTTCTGTGGTCTGAACTCAGGGCGTTGTACTGAGGAGGCTTTGACACAATATCACTTGAGCCACACCACCAGCTTGACTCTTGGCTGTTAACTGAAAATGAAATCTTATGGACTTTTCTGCCCGGGCTGGCCTCGAACTGAAGCCCTCAGTTTATGGAGGATCTCAAATTACAAGTTGTGTGAACTGTGGGCCCTTGGCCAAATTAACTTTTCTTCTAACAAATATCAAGCCAAATCAACCAGTGACTGACTGTTCACATGTGTTTTCCTTGATAGAACAAAATGTAAACTAGAAGAATTCTTCAGTGCCAGTCTTAGTGTGTAAACACCAGTATCCATAGATAAGGTCGGAGGCAAAGCAAGTTTTACCAACTACAGTGCATAAGTTTGAAGCATGAAGGCTCAGAATTTGAAGGAAAATCTAAACAAAGATAGCGCGAAACATTGCTACCTCTAATGTGAGAGGATTTCTCAAAGAGTACAAAGCAAGGGGGCAGAATGGCAAACCACAGCAAATGCCTGCATAACCTCAATATCTTCAGGTGAGCACTAAAAACAGTAGGCTATTCACACTGCCAGGGGAATATGCTAGATCTTCACCTTTTAGAAGTGAAGAGCACTTCCTCTACATTTCCTCTAGTTTGACTTCCTGATGGCTGAAGCCCCAAAAGTCTGCTGCTAGAAGAATGCTTTCAGTACAGGACTGTGAGCTGCAGCTGGCATCCAAGATAAGGCAAAAGTGACAACTACTGTCACTTGGACTTTTGAATACCTCTTGTCACCTCTTCCACATAGTGACGAGTTGTCATAGGACTGGTTCATTGGGCATAAGAGCTACCCCCTTCCTGGCATAGTGAGAGAGAACTGTCTCTGAGCAGAGCAGGTGGAATGGTAGACCAGGTGGATTAGCTAACCAGCCATTGCTTTCCATAGGCAGAGAGAAAGTAGATGCAAGTGTAAATTCTGCACCTGTGAAATGCTATAGCTAGCAGACTCAGGCCTTGGATAGCAGTGAATGATGACCATAGCTCAGGCCATTATGTCTTGTTCTCCCTAAACGAACTAAGAAGCTTACACTAGACCAGCAATGATGATACATTGTTGTGCCAGCCATCCACCTCTATCACCACAGCCCCCAGGAATCAAGAGAAACAGGCAAGGAAATCTGCCTTCAAAGCAAAGCGCTGGTCAGGCTGTTTACTCATCTGCTGGTGAGTTTGATGCTAATAAAGTAAGTGCTAGAATCCTGTGACTTATTCGGGGATTGTAAGCAGATGAGAAAGATGGTTAAGACATCACGAGTGTTGTTTGGAGACTCAGAGCCATTTGGTTTTTATATACTGACGATGGCAGTCTGTAACCCAACCTGGTAATTAGAACAAATTAGGTAAACAGGTCTCTTCCTATAGCATCAATCTGTCTATTTTTTAAAATTCACATAGTGTACACAAATCTGTCTGCACAGTAGGTTGCAAATACAACAGGCCAAACTGCAAAGTAAGAAATGTATTTTGCACTATGAAGCAGAAACAGAAATGGTAGCTTTGCAAATATTTCAGACCTAAACTCCAAATAAAAATATATCTTATGCTGTCAGGCAGAATACACATATGCACATATAAAGCAGAAGCAAAACCTTTTCCAAACAATATTTGTTTTGATCACATGCAAAATTCACATTAGTGTTTTCCCTCATATTTACTTACTTATGTAAAATATCGGCACATAGATTTCTAGCTAAAGCTTAAAATTCACTTGTTTAGATTCAGTCCTTGATGAGCAGGTAAGAATGGATGCACCTGCCTTAAAGGAGAAATACTGGCTTCACAGAACCATCTTATTTACAAAGTGCTCCTTAGAAATCCTTATGATGCACTGTTCTAGAATTCCCTTGGGATGAAGTTAGTGTAACTTACAAACTTTAGTATTTTCTTTCATTAAACATTGAAACTATGGTTTTCCCCACCACTCTATGCATTTCATACTTACTTGTTTCCCCAAATTTCACTAAGTCTGGTTTTTGACAATGTCTGCCTTTCTTAATGTCACATTTCCCCTATATTTTATTTATCTATCTGGATAGCATTTCATTCCAAAGTAATTAGCTACTCGACAATATCTTCTTTTCTAACTTAAAAAAAAAAAAAAAACCTGTAACTTTCCCCCATTTTCCAGTTGAATTAATTACTACAGTCTTCTAAAATAAAATACTCCATATTTAACCTAAGATAATGAACATTAAAGCACATGATCATTTAATGCTCTCATATTAAAATGACATTGTTTTCCTTGGACCTGTCATTCACATAATCCACTTGGTAATTACTGCTTTCCAACTATTTAATACGAGATGGAAAAATATTTAAATTTTGTCATCTTAACATGTGAATGCCGATGGTGGTAACATTCCCGAATGATCTTTAATTTTCTGAGAAGATAAATTGGAGATAGACTGGTGTAATGCTATTTTAGTAGAAAAAATGGTGGCGGTGCCTGTCATCTGAGTTAGAGTATACAGCGCAAATAGGAGGATCACGATCTGAGTTATAGTATACAGCGTAAATAGGAGGATCACGGCCCAGGGCTAGCCTGTGCAAAAATTGAGACCTTACTTAAAAACTATCAAAAGCAAAAGAATAATGGCTTGGCTCAAGGGGTGGAGCCTCTGGCTAGCAAGTGCAAGGCTCTGAGTTCAAACCCTATATGTGTGGCTTTAGTATTTGCCAGTGGTAAGCTAGAGATATAATGAGAGACACTAATGTGGGCAGTTTCCTTTGAACTTTTCTCACGTTTAGGGTCATTTCCCCACGTTCCTTTAAGAAAGGAAAGTCAATAGCTATAAATACATTTTGTACTTGGACCTGAGGGTATTTCTGCACCCTTTCCAATGCTGTGGCCATAGTAGTACGGCCTGAGGTCTGTGTTCTTCCCTTACTGAGTTCTGCCAAGTCCATGGACTCCCTGTGCTGGTGTTTGATATATGAATTCTTCCTCCACAAACTTCTATGGGCCATTTTTGTGCTGTAAGAACTTTAGCCTTCTTTTTCACAAAAGAAGGTAATTGAATTAAATTGAACAGTGAGAGAAATATAGATGTGTGACAATGATTAAATGCAGTCTCTTCCTACTTGCTGCCCACAGAGCTTGAGCAAGGCTACCTTCCATATTTCTCCTCTCTAAGGGGAATGGGCTCACTCATGTTGCAAATGCTTGCCATAATGCAGTTGTGTCTAGATCTGAGGTCTATAGAGGAGGTATTTGGAGACAAGAAGCCATTAAAAATGTTGCAACTCCAAAGGAACCCCCTGCTTATTCCAGTTAAAATTTGAACTGTAATTCAAACTGAAATCAGTACCTTCTTCTACATTTATCTGCAAAGAAACCACTTGACAAACTGTCATGTAACTATCAAGCCAAAAGCAATATAAAACACAGGTATTCATTTAGCTCATATACCTCCAAACTGGAGATATGGACTGAGCTCAGCTGTGTGTGTGTGTGTGTGTGTGTGTGTGTGTTTTCAGACATAATCACATTAACAGGGTCTGAACATGAGCCAGTTGTGGCCTAGTTGGTCCAGGATTGCTAAGCTGGGGGATTTCCTCTCTTCTGCATCTGGCATCTCTTTCCCCAGCAGGCTACACTAGCCTTGGGATAATGATGGTGTTGGAATGATGATGATGTGGTGTTAGTGTCACAGGGAAGATGCTTCTACACTTGGGAAGTTATACCACTATTCCATTCACCAGAATACCCTGGGTAGAGAGGTACGGAATTAGATTCTACTTATTGACGATATGAACTGGAAATCAATTAAAATGGCATAGGAAAAGGCAAGAGAAGGAATTGTGGGCATTTTGGCAATGTGCTGTGCTTGTCATCAGCCAGGAAGATGGATTGTATGTCAACACTGACAGCAATAACTAGTGAGTATCCCATTCAGGTAAGTGATTTTCTATGGGGTGTGAAGCAGAAAAGTGCTTGCATTGGGCTCTATTTTGTTAGCATATTTTACTTTAAGTCATGTGCTATTTTACTGTTGCTCCATTATGGAGAACAAATTAGAAACATTTCTAAAACATTGCCGTGTACAACTCTAGTCTTCAGTTACTTTTTCATAAAAATTTCCCTGAAACAAAAGAAAGACGAAGACAGAGTTATGCAGCCAATCAAAACAGTTCTACTAAATTACCTCTGCTATATTGAAATCTGTCAAGTTTATGATTCATTCAGTTAGCACTTGTTTTTGGCATAATAACTAAACTGTTGCTTTCATCTGCCATGTTCCCTTCTATTATTCTGATTTCCCCTCCTTATTATTTTATTCAAGCAGGACACTGAGCTGAATTGAACCGTGAAATGAATTGTCTTGAGCAGCGTCAACAACAGAAATGTTCTGGGGTGAGTGTCATTTTGCATTTTTTAAATTTCTGGCTGTTCAGTTCTTTTGTGATAATGTTGATAATATCCTGAATTTTTTTATTAGATATCAAATTATAGAAGAGGCAAATGGAGATGTGTTAAGTTAGCATAGTTTACTGCAACGAAGGTATCACAGTCATCAATAAAAGCAGTGCCTCCAGTGTAGCTCTTCTAATACAGCTATCAAAATAACAATGAAAGATCTGTTCACTCTTCCAGGCACATGGCTAGGATGTCTGAAGCTCATTCTTCAGCTGGGAAACAAGATGTTGAAGAACACACGTCTTGAAGTAGGTGAGAGTATAATTCTAATAGTTATCAGATCAAGAGAAGAAAAAAAAAACAGCCAGAAAGCTCGAGTCACAGAGTTCCAGTACCCTCAAGAGGAACCAGCTGATCCCTGGGGCTGGAGAAAAACTGAATAAGGGAGAAAGAAGCAAAAGATTAAGTCATAGAGAGAAGGGATCCTGCAGATAGTGTAGGCAGGCCACTGCCATGAGCCTTTTCCTGAGCAAGATAAGAAGTTAATTACAGAATTTGGGGTAGAAGAGTGAAATGATTCGTGTTTGCTTATGAAAGGTTCACTGTGCCCTTCCTGTTGATGTGTCTTTCTTCTTCTTCTTCTTCTTCTTCTTCTTCTTCTTCTTCTTCTTCTTCTTCTTCTTCTTCTTCTTCTTCTTCTTCTTCTTCTTCTTCTTCTTTCTTCTTCTTCTTCTTCTTCTTCTTCTTCTTCTTCTTCTTCTTCTTCTTCTTCTTCTTCTTCTTCTTCTTCTTCTTCTTCTTCCTCTTCCTCTTCCTCTTCCTCTTCCTCTTCCTCTTCCTCTTCCTCCTCCTCCTCCTCCTTCTCCTCCTCCTCCTCCTCCTCCTCCTACTCCTCCTCCTCCTCCCCCCCCCTCCTCCTCCTCCTCCTCCTCCTCCTCCTCCCCCTCCCCCTCCCCTCCCCCTCCTCCTCCTCCTCCTCCCCCTCCTCCTCCTCCTCCTTTTCTTCTTCTTATTCCTCCTCCTCCCCCTCCTCCTCCTCCCCCTCCTCTTCTTCTTCTTCTTCCTCTTCTTCTTCCTCCTCCCCCTCCTCCCCCTCCTCCCCCTCCTCCCCCTCCTCCTCCTCTTCCTCCTCCTCCTCCTCTTCCTCCTCCTCCTCCTCTTCTTCCTCTTCCTCTTCCTCTTCCTCTTCCTCTTCCTCTTCTTCTTCTTCTTCTTCTTCTTCTTCTTCTTCTTCTTCCTCTTCTTCCTCTTCTTCCTCTTCTTCCTCTTCTTCCTCTTCTTCTTCTTCTTCTTCTTCTTCTTCTTCTTCTTCTTCTTCTTCCTCCTCCTCCTCCTCTTCCTTTTCTTCCTCCTCTTCTCCTTCTCCTTCCTCTCCTCCTTCTCCTTCCTCTTCTCCTCCTCCTCCTCCTCCTTCAGATCAGATTTGTAGTTTAGAGCTCTCATCCTAAAGACTGCATTTCCTGGACCTCCTCGCTGTCTAGTTTTAAACTAAATTTGATCCAGGACAAGCACTATCATGAAGTTAAAGGTTAGAAGACAGGGAGAGAGAGGATGTCTCCCTCTGTTGGTTTTGGATTGTTTTGCTTGCATGCTTATGGCAATCAGAGAAGGGAAACCTAGCTCTGGTCCTTGTATTTTCTTGTGCATAAATTGCTGGAAAATGTAGTGGAGCAAGAGTCGATTTTCCTTTCCTTGTGTACTAGAAGCCATTGGAGGTTAGTCCGTCTATTGGTCAGGCACAATCCAACTTGTTGGCTAGGTCTCTGCCTTTGTATCCCTTGGAGAGCCCATTTGTGCTCCTTAATGCATCTAATCCTGGGGGAGACAAATAGTGTACTGAGTTCTACCCTAGTGGCAGAGAAGTCCTGTTTCTAATCTTTTCCATAGCCTCTTCTTGTGACTGTCTAGAAATCAGGATCACAGAATGCCCTGGGCTGTATTTGCTCCTTGATCTTTTTTTCAGGGAGGGGGGCGCTTGTGTGATGCTCAGGAATGGGAGTCATACTTCTCAAAGTCATCCTACTTTGAATTTATAGTATATGCGGGGCTCAAAGATTTATATCATTTAAAAATGTTTTCCTTTACTTTGTTCAAAATGTCTGGGAATCTCATTCCCAGCCCAGTGATGCAAACATCAGTGTACTGCAAGTCTGAAAACGCATGTACTTTTTCATCTATCCCAGAAATTTTGTTTTCTTTTGTATTCTTTCAAGAAAGAAAGATGTTCAGGGATAACATACATATATACACACATATGTATATATATGTAAAACATTATATATATAAAACATTATATATATTAACTAACTCAGTTCTCTAACGAACTGAAACAATGGAGGAGGAAACAGTGAAAAATGAAAAAAAAGGTAATGGTTCCCAGGCATTTGCATAAAAGAGAGAAATACAACCAGGTATTTATTTACTGAATAATTTGACTATATCCTTTGAAAAAAATCACATTTTTACAACAAAAAAGAAAGAAAAAACATACAAGTAAAAGCTGTAATCGGCGAAATAAAGAAATAGTCTCCATATTAAGCAAAGTAAAATGTGACTTCAAGTGCTCCTCAGGCTCTCCAGTGCACATGTACCATATATTTATAGCTGTTCCTCAAATCATGGCATTGAGCTATTGGGAGAGACAGTGTTAATATATTCACAAACACTTTGGGGGTTTGAACATTGGGTTAGCTATTTGACTCAGCACAGATAAATTAAAACATAATGTTATTGTTTTTTATTACCTTTAAGAGTTGTACAAATGAATGATCATTCAACAAAGCAGTTATGAATACAATGTACCTTTATCCATGTCATCTCTTAAACATTTTCATCCATTCCTCCCTTCCCTACCCCTTCCCTACTCTTTGTAATTTTGTAGGATATCGATTGGCTGCATTCTTCCCATCTTCTCACTCTTCATTCATCTACCCAACAAAGGAATCTCAATGCAGGTTTGAGATCAAAGGAAGTGATATGATTAAGTCAACACTTTAGATATCGTCTCATGTTGCAAGGAGAAAAAATGGCTTAGAAATATTCTTTAAGACTTCTAAAGGAACCACAGATGAGTTAAGAATACTGTATCCAATATGAAAATGACAAAGTCAAGCTGAAAGGGTGAGTTAGTATGAATAAATGCTCATTGTTGAAAAGAGGAGACAATATATAATGCCTAAAATTGTTAATCCAGAAAATAGAGCTGTAATTATTTTATTCAGCATTAAAGAGATAACTACAAGAATAGTGGAGAATAAAAATGGTAGAAGTGGGTTGCTTCTGGGAAATGCGATTATGGATATTATGTATATTGTACTGTCAAATCTGCTTTTAAGAAAGAGAAGATACAAAGAGAACAGCTTTTTATTTGAAATTTACATCCTGGGGGAATGTCAAGAAATTACTGTAGCCACCAAAGAACAATAACTGCTATTTGAAAAGATAGCTTTTGTGAAAGTTAAAGCAGTCAGGGCTGTCTAAATTTTTTTTTTTCCAGCTTTGATTTCTTCTTTAATCTGAGTTATTTAGAAGGGTGCTTATTTCAAATTTAGAAGTTTTATTATATTAGTCTCTGTCTTATTTCCCCTATTAAAATGCCAGAGTTTTATGGTACTCTGATATTTTCATTCAGTGAAAGTGGAAAATTTTTAAAGAGATTTATTTTCTTTATAGGTAAAGGGTTTTTTTTTTCAAATTCTAACTCTGGGATTTTTAAAATGTAAATTATCCTTGTGTCAAGCACAAAGAGTTCTGAAATCTGTGTTTGTATACATACATACATACATATATATATATTACCCAACTTGTTGATTTAGATGGGGATCTCAATAACTTTATGTTTGGGCTCTGCCTCAAACCATGGTCCTTCTGAATTCTATTTCCTGAGAATCTGAAATTACAGGAGTAAATTCCCACAGTGAGCTCAACAGGTTATTTTAAATGCCTAATTTTTCAACAAAACCCTGTAAGACATAAAGAAATGAGAATAAAGTGAGCCTTGTATAGAATAAACCACCCCCTCCCACCAACAGGCCATTGGACTGCTAATGCACTGGAAGTACTAGGTAAAGAATCAAAATCAGCTGTCATAAGTATCTTCTACAACTACAGAATCATCTAATATGTAGATTCGCATTCTGGGTATAACGATGCTTTCAGTACGACAAACACTAGCCCCCCAAACAGCCTTTTAAATGAAAGAAAAGCTACCTCCAAGTTCCTTCAGTGCACTACAAAATTTAAATACTCCTACACAGCTGTTAGTTATTAGAGTATGTGTGGATAGCTTGGTGTAACTTATTTAACCCTGGATGGCACAGGGCAGACACTCAAGGCAGCATCTTAAAGATATCAGGAGACAGGGTGGAAAGCAGATAAGGCTGCTGTCAGCATAACACATGGCCCCCTATTTTACAGTAACTCATTTTTCCCAAGTAGAAGAGTATACTCTAAACTAGCAATGAAAAATAGAGTGTAGTGAATCACTAATCCCATAACATAGCTGTTTTCACTATCAAAATTTTTTTTCCTGGGCTGGGAATGTGGCTTAGTGGTAGAGTGCTTGTCTAGCATGCATGAAGCACTGGGTTTGATTCCTCAGTACCACATACATAGAAAAAGCCAAAAGTGGCACTGTGGCTCAAGTGATAGAGTGCTAGCCTTGAGCAGAAAGAAGCTCAGGTCAGTGCCCAGGCTCTGAGTTCAAGCCCCAGGGCTGGCAAAAGAAAATATGTCCTATACATAATTATGTAAAAATATTATGTGTAATAATTTTATACAACTGGCAGTCCTGTAGGTTTGTCTATATCACTGTCACTACAAAGTATGTGAATTATGATGCTATGATGCTAATAATTATACTTTCAACTCCATCATGCTTCTTTTGGAACCACGGTTGCATAGGTAGTGCTTCACTAACAATATGCAACATATACTTGTCAAACATAAAGGGATTTTTTTGAAGTGTCTGTTTTCACATGAAGAATCACAAAGATTCTAAAGAAAAATACGAATCTCCCACACTAAAGCTACCAGCACAACTATGTTTATTGCAGCATTATTTACCATAGCTAAGATATGGAACCAACCCAGATGCCCCTCAGTAGATGAATGGATCAAGAAAATGTGGTATATATACACAATGGAATTCTATGCCTCCATCAGAAAGAATGACACTGCCCCATTTGTTAGGAAATGGAAAAACTTGGAAAAAATTATATTAAGTGAAGTAAGCCAGGCCCAAAGAAACATAGGTCCCATGGTTTCCCTTATTTGCAATATCTAGTATATGTATGAGTCAAGCAGACAAGGTCAGATAATGTGATGTTAGGAAAATGAACCCTTAGATATGTATTTTAATGTTTTTTTCTTTCATGCATTTGTTTATAACGCATTTATAAGATTATCTCTTTGTTGCTTTGTATGTCCCTCCCCCACAGTATAACCCCTGCTTTCACTATATTTGATGTCAGTATAACTTGTGGAGGAGATGGGGAAAAACCAGTTGTTTAAGGATACAGGTGGACCTGATGCAACAATGAGAAGTACAAGTTGTCATGTCCAAAACGAGCTTTACAATGTTGGTGTGGTGGGGGGAGGATTGGGTGGTGGGGGGGGGAGGGGGGAGGTAGGGAAGGGATGTGAAGGGTAAACAAAGGAGGAGGCTGCAATGCTTGATAAGAAGTGTACGCATTATCCTGCCCATGTAATTGTAACCCCTCTGTACAGTATGTTCACAAAAAAAATAAAATTAAATTAAAATAAAAAAAAGAAATAAAAAACTGAAAAAAAAATACAAATCTCACCCACAGCTATCGATACAAATACAGGCTCCCCCAAATCATAACATTAAAGATGTCTGGAACACTTGTCCAAAATGTTCTTTTAAGTTTGTGTCTTCCTTTCTTAAAATCACTGCGAATAGAAACAATGTGTGTATTGGCCAAGAGACTTGACTTCTATGGGCATCTTTGTGTCGTTGGTGCAGTAATGGAGACTGAGTGATGAATTTCTCACACTCTCCCAGGTATTGTATTATAAAAATGTAACCTTTTTCCCCCTCTTCAGACTGTAAAAGCCTTGTTGAGACAATTATGCATTCATTGAATACATTAGTTCAGGAATATGCCGGATACTCTACCGAGTTTCCTCTAATAGAAACATTTTGAAAAATATATAGTCCAATATCACAACCACAATATGATTCAATTAAAATGTAGAACAGTCCCCACCGAGTATTTTTGGAATATATTTTTATTATCTTTAAGTTGTTGTACAAAGGAGTTGCCGTTCACTGAAGCAGTTTACGATTATAGTGCATCTTGATCAAGGTTACCCCTTTCAATCTTCTCACCCACCCTCCTCACCCATCCCTTCCCTTATTTATCTTAATTTTGGGTTTATCTTAGCATATCTTAATTTATCTTAACCTTGAATCTCTTTGCCATTTAACAAAGCAGTTTGTGTATGCAATGCATCTTGATCAGTGTCGTCTCTTTACCATCTTCCCCTTCTCACGGACCCACCCTTCCCTTGTATTTCTCCGTTCTGTGGTAGACAATGAAATCTGGCTTTCATTCTCCCCTCTTCTCCCTTCATTCTTCTTCCCTGAACCACCTGGCCACACCCTCTGCTCTTGCAAGTATTTATTTCCTGTACTTATTTTGTTGTGCTTTTATTTAGTCCTTTTTTTAAATAAGTTTTTTTTATTGTGAAAATACTGTACAGAAGGGTTATGGTTACATGAGCAAGGTAATGAGTACATTTCTTGTCAAGCATTGTTGCCTCCTCCTTTGTTTTTCCTCTTTCCTCCCTTCCCTCCCACCTCCACAGCTGCATTTGCACTTTCCCTAGAGTCTCTTACACTTCACTTAATTCATTTGCAACCACTTGCTTACCATCCAGTGTGTATACTAGTTGATTTATAGGCATATTCTAGCTACCACAAATAAGGGAAACAATGCAACCTGTTTCTCTGGGTCTGGCTTACTTTGCTTAATATAACTTTTTTCCCCAACTCTTTCCATTTCTCTTCAAATGGTGCAATCTTTCTTTCAGATGGATGAGTAGAAGTCTGTTGTGTATATAAACTGTATTGTTTGGTGAGAATTCTGTATGGTGTGGTTTATATCTCTTAGTTCATTCTGACGCTGGTCCATTTTAAAGATAAGATCAGCAAATAGTGAGAGTCAGGTTCTATGTCTGACATCATGGCTCTTTCTGTTCACAATGCTTCGGCTGAAACAAACATAAAAGATCCTTACCCTTGCTTCTCATTGCGTTACATTGTGCCTCACATATCGCTGGGAATACAGCTGCATTGTGCGCATCTATTTCCATCAGTAGAACTGTTTACACAGCTTTGCAGACTGTAGATTTCGGTCTAGGTCACCTAGCCCATCCACTGTGCAGGAGTGAATCTGTAGTGTCCGTCTTTGAATACGTTCTTATCTGTTCACGTTTTTTTTTTAATACCTCAACTTTCTTCTCTGAACGACAAATGATAGCAAAACACAGCACAAAGAGAATCAGGCACTCATTGAAATGTATGTGTTCCAAGGTCAGGAAAACATTAATGAAGCAATCGAATCTGTATGGATGAATTATTTATGTATTTAGAAAGAAAAAGAATGAAGAAACAAAACAAAAGGCACACACAGGTTCTGCAGAATTGAGAATAATGCTGTTAGAGCAATCTTTGACCATTTCCTGCCAGTCTCCAATCGTGTCCAAAACCACAGTTCCTGAACCTTCTGAATATATTAGGTCTTGAGCCCCCTGAGCTTGTTAACTTGTGAGGAAAGCAGGCACATGGACAGGACATGTATAAGACCCCCAGCTGAGGTCCCCAGTTAAAGACTCAGTGGACAACCAGGTCTAACCTCCAACACTGGAGTCACAATTACATAAACTACATTATAATTATGTATCGAGGGCTCACCATATGTCAGAATTAGAACACTGGGGACATATGGTGAACCAAAAACTACACGATTCTTTCATAATGAATGTGGAATATAAATAGAATTTGTCCTCCATATTCACAGTCCTGCATCTATAGATCCAACCAACCTCAGATCAAAAATATTTTTGAAAAAAAGTGAATTGTGTTTGTACTTCCCATGTACAAATATTTTTTTCTAGTAAGGATCCTCCAACGTGTTAAATAACTATTGATGCACAACTCATATTATATTTGATATCAGGAGCAATGAAGAGATTATTTAAATTATACTTCTATGTGTGTTCTTCAAATTTTGCACTGTGTATTAGAATTGAAATCTACA